GATTTCCCAGGCAAGAATACTGGAGTGGGTTGCCACTTTCTTCTCCAGGGGATCTTACCGACCCAGGGATCGAACCTGCGTCTCCTGTACAAACCCACCTCCTCCCAAGTTGCCTTGGCTCTATACAGCTTTAAGGATAACTACTACAAGCATTGCACTGGCCAGCAGGCTCAAAACCCCCTTGACATGGAGCAGATCTGTTCATATTTCTTGGAAAGAGAAGGCTTAAGAGACACAAGTTCTGCATCACTTAGTGCTGTTATTCACTGACAGTAACAGAGCCAGTGTTGGTAGGATAAGGGGCCCCATGCAATAGGGGAAGGAGGAAGAAGAGTGGCTGGCCCAGACCCACTTCTAAAGTTTACCCATAAATCTGCCTCATAGCTACAGGCAGCCTGACATGACAGAAAGAGTGCAAACAGAGGCTAGAAAACCCAGGTTTGAGTCTGCAAGGGCTATAGTTTGAGTATTCAGTTTTACTACAAACATGCACCGGAGAATCATAGTGGTTTTTCCCTTAGGTTGTAGGAAGGACCACCGGAGAGAATGGGAAAGAAAACATTTTGAATACTCCAGGCAAACATTTTAATTTTTATTAAAAAAATAAAAATCATTATTCACTGAGTGCAAGCTACCTCTTTTTGGTGAATAACAGTGATTTCCTTCATCTGGACCCCCTGTGCTCACACATCTGCTTTTGACTTTCCTTATAATATTCCCTGATAATATCCCTGGTGGCTCAGTTGGTAAAGAATTCACCTGCAACACAGGAGACCCGGGTTCAATCCCTGGGTCAGGAAGATTCCCTGGAGGAGGAAATGGCCATCCACTCCAGTGTTCTTGTCTGGTAAATCCCATGGACAGAGGAGCTGGGCGGCCTACAGTCCATGGTGTCACAAAGGGTCAGACACAGCTGAGCGACTAAATCACATAAACCACAAAGTATTCCTCATATCACTAGAGATACCGTGGGTCATGCTGCTGCTGCTGCTGCTAAGTCGATTCACTCATGTCCGACTCTTTAGCGACCCCATGGACTGCAGCCTACCAGGCTCCTCCGTCCATGGGATTTTCCAGGCATGAGTATTGGAGTGGGTTGCCTTCTCCACTCTGGATCATGGGCAATCCTAAAACACTACTGAGAGTCAACCTTTATGCATTTTCTAAACTTTTAAATTATTTATTTTCATCCGGTTGTACTGAGTCTTAGTTGTGGCATGCTGGATCTAGTTCCCTGACCAGGGGTGGAACCCAGGCTCCCCTGTATTGGGAGCGCAGAGTCTTAACCACTGGACCACCAGGGAAGTCCCAACTCTTATGCCTTTAAATGTCAGGATAATGCCACCAATTTCAAGGCAGTGAAAAGACAGCAGGGAAGATCCATTTTCTTTGTCTACATAAGGGTTTCTCAACCTCGGGTGGATAATTCTTTGTTGGGCTTTGTAGGCTGTTCAGCAGCATCCCCAGCTGCTACCCACTAGACACCAGTAGCACTACCCCACGTGATCATAACCCAAAGAGTCTCCAGAGATTGCCAAATCGGGAGTCGGGGTGGGGTGGGGGTTACAACATCACCCCCAGTTGAGAACCAGTAGATCGCACAAACAAAGGACACATGCACCAGTAATTTGGGGCAGAGATGTCTGCTGGCTGATATTTTGTAGCTGCAGAAAGATTTCAGATGAGTAGATCCCCTGGAGAAGGAAATGGCAACCCTCTCCAGTATTCTTGCCTGGAGCATTCCACGTACAGTGGAGTCTGGCGGGCTACAGTTCACAGGTGCAAAGAGTCAGACTCGACTGAGCCACGAGCACAAGCATGAGAGCAGGAAGTACAGAGGATATCTGACGGCTCCTCTCATGTTCCCAGGTGAACTGTCACCTCCACAGCCATTGACCACCTCCAGAGTTGTCATCTGGGGGGACCTGGGGGATGGAGCAAAAGGCCTCCCTTGGATCAGAAGTCAATGTTATCCAACCTCACTGGCAGGACTTCCGTGGTGGCTCTGACGATCAAGAATCCACCTGCAGTGCAGGAGACCTGGGTTCAATCCCAGGGTTGGGATTCATGTGTCCACATCCTCCGCTGGTGACAAGGGCCTGCCCTGCAGCGGAAACCAGTGATGGAAAGCTCCCTCTCTTCTCAAGAATCCTGGTTTTACTAATACATCCCCAAACTTCATGCCAGCCAAGGGGACTCTTCACCGTAAAGAAATAAAAGCCATCCAAGGGTGTTTCAGTAGCCTCCAAATCTGATATTTTTTTTTTTCTCATTTGCTAAAGCTTTTCAAAATCGTTTTTTTTTTTTTTTTCATTTTTATGGACCATAAAAAATCTCAGTGAGCAAGAGCCCATGAGAAATCCAACCAATGGAAGCTTTGATTTTTCCTCACCTTCTGTGGAATCATTCTGCTAAAACAGCAAAGCTATTTTATTAAACAAAGCTGAGTTTTTAAAGAAATCAGTGCAAAAAAGACTCTTGGTTCTGTTCTAGGCACTTCGGAACAGCTGAAAGAAGGGGGGGATTGGACCATCATGTTGCTCCTTGCCAGGCCTCAGCTAACCTCCAGTCCTTGAGGGAGTGAAAAACGGGGGTAAACACTGCCTGGGAACTTTCCAGAGCTGAAGATGATGCCAGAAAATTCCCAAACAGGGCCTCTCCTTTTTCTCCTCCCACCCCACAGGCTGTCTCCTGCCTTTGCACAGAATCACTCAAACCAAACAAATCAGGAGCTATGATGTAGGCAGCGACTACACTTCCGGACAAATACAGATGAATACAAAGGGGAAAAGAGGAACCTTCAACAAAGGTTATAGTCTGCTCTTTGGACTCACCTGCTAAATGTAGTTACCCATCAGCAAAGATTAAAATAAAAGCCTGCCACATTCCAGGCAGACACGGTTCTCCAGGAGCAGCTCGGCCTGGAAGTCTGCTGGCCGTTCAGGGCATGGTCTGGTCATTCCTAAGTACTCTCTAGAAGGCAGAGTTGCAGGTCAAGTGAAAGCGTGCTGGCTCCAGCCCTTGACAAAGCCCCACAGCCAGGGAGCAGGTGTAGCCTGCCAAAAACAAACAAAAACTTCTCCCAAACAACAACACACAGTTAACACCCACAGCCTGTCAACACCAATTAGCCTGCCCGACAAGCAGAAGCCTATTAAGACCAGCACTCCAACCCAGCCAAGGTCCCCTGCAAGCAGAAACTGTCATCTCCGGGCTTCCCTCCAGGAAGTGACCTTCAGTGGAAACCCACCACAGCCCGCACAGCCCTCAGATCCCCTGTACTTTTAGGGGATCTTGCTGGGTGCAATTATGACTTTCCTGGGCTCTAGGCACTTTGGTTCCTTCCTCCACAATAATATTAAAATTTATTTGTGATACAACTTTCAGTACTTTGATACCTGGTTTTTTAATGTTTTAGGCAAAATTGAATAGATTTTCGAGGGCCTGAAAATATTTTCAATATTTTCATTTTTTTTTCCTTCGAAGAGAAATTAAACATTTTCCTGGGCCCCCAAAAGTTTCTCAGATCCTTGGCACTGTGCCCACAATGTCTAGTGAAGTTAGCTCTCATTCAGTAGATAACTTGCAATTAAAAAAAAAATACTGTTACCCACAGCCTTAGCCTTTCTAAAGTCCATTCTGTTGATAAAATATGGACATAATACACCTGGAAGTTGTTTCATCACTTAAGAATGATTCCTTACAAAGGGAGATGCTGAGAAGCTTAAAAAAAAAATCAAGTCACCACACAAGATAGATTTTCTTCAATATTTTATTTATATAGAAATACTTAAAAAATGAAGTAGCACCATTACTTAAGTTTTACCTTTATTATGTAGAACTTTAAATGTCAGAAAAATAAAACTCTTGATACAATTTCAAATCTTGTCTCAGCAAATATAATATTAGTATTTGACCATGAGGTTAAAGGCCCTTTATCATAAAATAAAATATACTTTGTTTTTTTAAACTTTGCTCAGTAAAGTACATTTAAGCTCAAGTAACGTCACCTACATATACATAAACAAGTGGTAAACAAATGTATTAAAATAGAAATACTAAAACTATAGTGGTGCAACAGAATTTTTGTAACTTGCACTGAATTCTATTTATACAAATGTTAGAAAGCATCAACAGTTCCTTTTGACATGTTTATACATTTCCGTTTTTTTGTAATAATATAGAATAAAATATGCTTTATATCACTGAATAGAAAATATGCTGGGTGAAGCAGTTCTAGAAGATTTGTCTGAACCTATAAAATCTCCATCCCAACAGAATACTGTTCAAAACATTACACATTTTATGGTTTGTAATTCTGTCACAATTGTGTGATTATTAAAAAATAATACAGTGTTCTTTGCCATAAGGCCATACTAAAATAAAAAGATTTAACCCAGCTACAAAAAAGTTCACTGAACTTAAATTAAAATACTTGTAAACATCTTTGCAATATGAAATATAATTTTTCAAGTCAAAAAAGAATAAAATACTTCAATCTGTATTAATGCAATTTCTCTTTAAAACTTTTAAACGTTTTTTTTAATATATAAGAGATATGTTACAGTTTCTTTAACTTTAATAAAGCTGCAGTATCCTGGTATTACAGGAACTCCTGGCCCTTCTACGAACATTCAAAAAGGATCCACTGTGTTCTATAATAAGAATGGTAGGAACCCAGCCACAAAGGGGAACACACAGAAACAGTCCACACACATCCCATAGCACTATTATTATCCTCTTCATCATAATAATCATTGTTCATTTTTTTCCCTACTTTTAAGAAAATGGAAAACTTGTGGGGTTTTCTTCTTTTGGAAGCTTCCTATTAAGTACAGTGTAAAAACTATCATTACTAGAATGTCGCCGTTCCTATTATTTATAGAGCATGCATTTCAGGTGGTTTGGAGGTTTCCCAGGCTACAGTACTCGGATGCTGATATCCTGGCAAGTTCCTTTGTTTAAAAATTAAAATTAAAAAAAAAATGAGCGGATACTACAGCTTTCCAAGTTCCTCTTCGGATCTCAGAGTGTGAGCAGGAGGGCGGGGAGGAGAAGGTGGGACACCTCGAGTTAGGCAGAGAGGCATCGCCAGGGATTGAGGACAGAAGGAAAGGGGGGCGGGGGTCCTCCTTCGCCCTGCGGTGCGCTCAAGCGCGCGCTGCCTTCACGAAAAGATGCGGATGGCCTGAGTGACCGCGGTGTGGCAGACCGGGCACTCGGGCTCGCTCTTCTCGCAGATGCGGTTAGCGCACTCCATGCAGAAAAGGTTGTGGCCGCAGGGAACCAGTGCGGCGATGACTTCGCTCTCAAAGCACACGGAGCAATCGCGGCTGCCCTTACGCCGCAACCCGGAGGAGGAGGAGGAGGACGAGGACGAGCTGGAGGACGAGCTGGATGAGGACGAGGAGCCCGACGCGTCCGACGACGAAGGCTGAAGGCCCGCCGGCAGCTGCGCCCCCAGCCCATTGGCATAGGCGGCGTAGGCCAGGCCCCCTCCGCCAGGGTCGCTGCGCACACGACGAGCCAGGTGGTGCTCACCCGCCCCCGGGGCCATGTGCAAGGGCGGGGACAGACGCGGGCAGCTGGCGCCTGGGTGCAGCCGGCGGTGTACCGGCAGCCCGAGGTTGGCGCTGGAGGGCGCGCTGGCTCCGCCCCCGGGAAAGACCACCGAGGAGGACGAAGCCGCTGACGAAGATGCGGAGGAGGAGCAGGAAGAGGACGCGGGAGCTGCAGGTCCGCCTCCCGGGGACCGCTCGAACTGGGCCCAGAGAAGGGGCGCCCCGGGCGGTGGAGCGGGAGCCGGGTCAAAGGCTGGCGGAAGCTCGGGGCAGCCGTCGGGGGAAGGCACCGAAGCCTCGCCCGCCGCAGCCGCAGCGTAGGTATACCCATTGCCGTTGTTGTTGTTTCCGTTGTGAGCAAAGCTGAGCGCGGGGCTGGGGGGGCTGTAGTCCGCCAGGCGCGGGGTGGTGGCTGCGCTGCCGCTGGTGCCCGCGCCGAAGTAAGAGTCTGTGGAGGCGCTGCCGAGCGAGCTGGAGCTGTCGTTGCGGTAGCTGGAGAAGGGCTTGCGGCCCGGAGTGGGCGTGATGCTGGGAGTGGGCTTGCTCCAGAGGCTGCCTGGGCCGGACCCGCCGGACCCATGATGCAGATCGAAGCCCACATCCGTGCCGTTGGCGTGGAAATCGTTCTCGTCGGTGAGCTCAATGATGCCGCCGGTGCGCAGGGCGATGTGGGCCTCGATCTCCTCGCGGGCGCGGTCCACGTTCTCCGGCATGCCCGTCACCTCGAACACCGGCTCCTTGTCGCGGCTGGGCGTCACGATGTACGTGTGCGTCTGCTGCTGGATGCGCTTGATCGTGGCGCCCTTGGGCCCCACCACGAGCCCCACCACGCGATAGGGCACGCGCACCTGGATGGTGGTCTGCCCTGGCAGGTTAGGCGGCCCGGGCACTGCGCCGTTCAGCGCCGTGTTCTTATTGCGAGAGGCGCGGATCATGGAGAAGTGCTCGGCGGCGGAGATGATCTCCCTCCGGGCCATGGCCACATCCTCCTTCCTGCCCGTCACAACAAAGACAGGCTCCTCCCCGCGAACCGGGGTCTTGATATAAGTGTTGGTCTTTGCCCGCAGCGCTTTGATTTTACAACCTGGGAGTCCGGGTGCAGGGGAGGGAGTGGGAGAGATAGACAGACACGCCCATTAACCGCGTAGACCTGCGACTGCCCGCACCGGGCAGGTGGAAGACAGAACACGCGATGGGCGGAAAGGGGGCGGCTCCCTCAGAGACCCCCGGGCCGCGCCACCGGGCTGAGAAGCCGGTCCCATCCGCGAGGCGCTAGAGGACCAGCCCACTGGCTGCCCAGCCCTCCCCCAGTGACTGCAGTCAAATCCGAGAATCCCAGAAAAAAGTCAGCTGGGGAGATGCCGCTGGGACCCAGCGGGACGCGCCGTCCGCCCCGAAGACGCGGCAGAGGGATTCGGGAAAGACGACCAAAAGCCGGGATCCTCCGGCGCGGGGGCCCTGGTGGGAAGTCAGGGGGGTGGGGAGCAGTCCCGGGACCCATTGTTCCTCCTCGGGGCTCCATTCCGCTTTGCAGAAATCCAGAACCCTCCTCCCATCCGAGGCTCACTCCTCCTCCTCCCCCCTCCCCAAGGACCGCTCGGAGGCCCCCTCCCCCAAGCATCTATTTAAATTCTGTTTCCCCGGAGTGGGCTAGGTGGGGGGCGCCAGGGGAGAAGGCGATGATTTTCTCAGGAGAGAGTGTCTCCCGCCGTGGCCGCGGCGCAGCTCTGGGAGACAGCCTGCCTGCACTTTCTTTGTCTGGGGCGCCGGCCCATCGCGCGGCTCTGCCCTCGTCCTCAAGGCTCCCCGGCACCGCGGGTCTCCCAGCCTCCCTCTCCCGCCCTCCCCGAGGGGCGGCGGCCCGAGACCCTCTTTCCTGCATCCGCCCATCCCCGGCCGGACCCACCTTGCCGCCCCACGATCTCGGCGACATGCTCGGAACTGGGCACTGGCACGCACTCGGTCATGTTCACGCTCTTCTTTCGCGGCTCGCTGTCGTACAGAGACGCGCCCTCGTCACTGTCCAGCCCCAGCAGGGAGAGCTGGTCGAGTGCGAGCTGCAGGGCTCTTTGGTCATCCAGGGTCTCTCCGCCGCCTCCTCCTCCTCCTCCGCCGCCGCCGCCGCCCCCTCCGCCGCCGCTGCCGTTGCGCTCCAGGTCTGCAAACAGCGAGCTGGGCATCTCTCGGCCGTGCGCGCCGCGCCCCCGCCGGCCCTGGGCTCGGCGGCGAGAAGCTTCGGCTACAAAGGCAGCCGGGAAGCGAGTGTTCAGGGGCGGGGAGGCCGGCCGGCTGCAGACAGCTCCGTGGCTCTTTCCTCGGCTCCGGCAGGAGTGGATCGCTCCTGGCGGTCCGCGCCGGGCAGTGGCTGCGGGAGCCGCCGCCTGGGTCCCCACCCCAGATCTGCTGGCGGGTGGGGTGGGGGCAGAGCTCGAGCGGCAGCCGCGCGTGCCCCCCGAGTGCCCGGCTGGCTGGCCACAATGCCGAGCGAGAAGCGAGCAGGCGAGCGACAGCAGCGTTTCTTTAAGGAGCCCCTCCCCGGCTCCTCCACTCCCTCCCTCCCGCCCGCCCGCCCGCCCGCCCGCCCTCACTCAGCGCTTTTTCCTCCTCTCCTCCCCGCCTCTTGACTGAGCCTCTGCAGCCAGACGGCTCCGGAGGGGGACGAGGGAGGCGCAACGTCACCGGCGGGAGCTGACACTACAATGCTACTGACACTATCGCTGGGGGAGGCGATTGGCGCGCGCCGGCCCGGGGGCGGGCGGAGGCCGCAGGCTGAGCGAGCTGAGAGCTAGCGCCCCCCACCCCCGCGCTCGCCGCAGCCCGCCCCGTCCGCCTCCCGCCCGCGCCCCTCCCCCGCCGCCGCTAACGCCTCTCTTTGTTGTCTAATGCGGGACCGGCCGGCCCGGGACACTTGCCTGCACCTCTCAGCCGAGGACAGTCACTATCCCCAGGTCTCCTCCCTCGCCAGACTGAGAAAAGGAAATGCGCCCAACTCTGATGCCAGGGCCCCAGCTCCAAGAGAGCGGTCCTTAGAAAGTCCCGTTAGCGTCCCCAAATAAAGCACCCCTAGAGCCAACGATGCCTCCGGGAGAAAGGTCTATTGTCTGCCCCCCAAAAGACAGACCGATCCCTCGGACACGAAAGACAGGTCTCGAGATCCTTGTGTGCACTGGCCAAGTGGCCCCCGGCCGGGGCTGCCCACCTGCACACGAGCGCAGGAGACACAAAGGCATACGCCCGCTCGCATCCCCACTCGTGAGCGCGCGCGCCCGCAATTCTGTCCCCTTGGGCGGCAATTCGCCCAACTGGCCCCGAAACTGCGGATCAGAAAGCCAGAAACAGGCTGCAGTGCCGACCTGGCCCTCCCGGCCTCCGGCGACTTCTGGAATGCACCGCGCAGAGGTCCTGCCCGTGCCCGGCGTGCGGGCAGAGACCCCGCGGGCGCTGACACGCGCACGAGTGCCGCGCCGCCACCGCGGGGACGCCAGTCATACCTCCAGCGGGCGCGGGCGCGGGTGTGCGCGCCCACCGCTCTCCGGTCCCTCCCAGCCCCACGGTCGGGCATGCGCAGTGCGCGCGACGAGCGGGCGGGCCCTTTAAGGCGAGCGCGGCGGAGCTCGCCCGCCCCTCCCGCGGCCCCGCCCCTACGGGAGGTGTGTGCTCGCAGCCCGGCCGCTCTTTGTGCGCTTCTCCGGGTGGGGGTGGCGGCGGAGGGAGGGTGCGATGGGACCGGCCGGCGGGGACGGCGAGCTGCGCCCCCTCCCGGATCTCCCCGGGGCCGCCTCCGAGCGCACGGGAGAAGAAAGGAGGCTTTGAGGGGAGGGCCGGAACGGGGCGCGATGCCCGGCCGCCCCGCTGCTCTGTCCCTCTCCGCCCGAGTCCCCCCTCCGCCGCCAGCCCGAGCGGATGCCCCCGGGTCTTGGCGCGCGCGCTCCCCTCTTTTGTTCTGGGATCCGCCTGGGTCGCCGGGCCCCTTGCTCCTGACCCCGGCCTTTCCGCAGAGCGGCCGGGGCCGTGAATCGCGAGGATGGCCTGCGTCCGCGCAGCGGGGCTCCTGATGAAGACAATGAGGCCATGTGGCCGAACCCACAGACGGGTTTACTCCGGAGTCCTCGCGGTGCCGCGGGGCGATCTCGGGGCTCGAAGGCAGAGGCTCCCCAAAGTGCCCCCTGCGTGACCCAGGGACGAGTGAGGGAGCGCCCTGGGTGGGCCTCGAATCTTTTTAATCCATAAAATAGGGGAAATCAGACAGCCCTCCCCACCTCGTGGGTTCTGGAAATTAGATGTGACAACAGACGGGAGCGCGCCTAGTAGGCAGTCAGACACACGCTAGACTGCTAAGAACGCGAAGGTGTTTTTGCTGCTTCGCTCACCTGGAGCTGTCTTGGCGAAGAGGTGCTGATTATTTCCTTAGGGAAATGAGACTTGGAAGCCACTTGCAGTGGTTATTTCCGCAGGATGTTTACATCAGCTTCCTGGTGTGTGTGTTTCTTCAAAGGGGAAGCTTGGTGATGGGGTGGAGATCGGGATGGGGGTGCTGAGCCTTCCCAGAGTGTCACCACCTAGACCCCCAGTAGAGAATTCTTCTAGTTTTTAACCTAGTTTTTGTACTCAAGCCCTACCAATTTGAGAACCAGGAGAGAGTGTCCTTGAAGATTCCTGAGGGCTGAGAGTAAAGGGTCCTGGCTAGGGGAGGGGGTGGCACAGAGAAGGCTCAGCCTGGAACCCCTCACTAAAGGTCTGTAAACATCAAAGCAGACAGGAGAAGCCCTCCTGTCAAAGGCCTCAGCATTTGCATCTTGCCAACACAATCTACTTTTGGCCTCTCAACTCAGTTTCTAGGAGTTTCGTACACTCCCGATCAGGCCAAATGAAGTTTCTTTTTTCAAATAACAGACTTGATGAAGGTCAAATTTTTGCTGGACTTCCATGGCTGATGAGGCCTGTGCCCAGGTAGATGAAGACCCTCCCCCCACCTGTTTCCTAGGCAACAATCCTGTCATACATCCTCCCCTTCACACTGAAAGCAGTGTGAAGCTTTCAGATGGTCAGTTCAGAAACTGGTCTGGAGATATGAATGCTTCCAAGTCCCTGAGTCCTCCCAGAAAGGTGAATACACTTTGTGGATGTGGAAGTGACCCAGGTAATATCTTCTTTCCTTACTAAATCAGGAAGCCAGGAACTCCACCTGCCTGTTGTGCAAATGCTCCATGAAATCTCAGCCCCCATGAAGGATAAGCTAAAACTCTGACCACAGGAGTTCATGGAAAGCTGCCAATCCCGAGGTGCCCATGAACTGCCACGCAGCTCAGGTCACCCTCCACGGACCAGAATTCTTCGGTTAAAATGTGTGCAAAGATAGCACATTTTTGGAAGATACCCATGAAATCTAAGGGCCTCCAGAGAATAGGAGTCGTATGATCCTGGTGGCCCGAGCTGGGATGCCCGACAGATCTGGTTCCCAGTCCAGTTCTGCCCCAATGTTTCTTGCCTACAAAAAGAAGCTAGTATCCAACTTTCCATCTACTTCCCAAGAAGGAGGGGGTTGGTTTAGCGGGTAGAAAATGACAGTGAAAAATGATTCATTGTACGTTGCAAAGTCCTAAGCAGAAGTATTGGAAAATGGGTGTTTTCCCCACAGCCACTTCTTACCTCCTTATATTTATTAATAATATTGACTAGTCAGGGTATCTTCTGACACTTGAATGCTATTATAAAAGTAACAATCTGGAAATTTTCATTCTCATTTAATGGCTTTTATAAGCCAAGACATCTTAGAGCTTGCAAGTCTAGTTCTGTTTTAAATAGATGATAACACCCAACCCCAAAGTTTCTGGTTAGACTTTCCCAGGCTCCTTCAGGACCCCAGAGCTTAACTACTTTTCCTGACACAGGACATGTTCCCTAAGGACATCCCCGATGTGGCCGTATTATTTTTTGTTGTTGTTAGCACAAGAGAGAAACTTGCAGAATGTGATCTGGTAAGACAATAGGGAAATTCAGTTGTCATAAGAAAAGGTAAAGTCACGCAAAAACAAGATTAGCAAGAGACCGCCCTATTCTCCAGAAGCTCCAAACTGTTTTGCACACATCTTGCTTCCCCTTGGCAAACTAATTAGCTGGCAAAAGAAACTAAAATCCTCATGGGAACACAAGTGCACTTTCAATCAATTCATTCAACATTATCAAGCAGCTACATACTTTATTATAGGTGCAGAGTAAAGTGCTGAAGCTACAGAAATGAACAAGGCAGAGGAATCCTTTCCCTTGGACCCCCTGCGTGCGTGGTACATGTGAGCTAAGTCGCTTCAGTTGTGTCCGACTCTGTGTGACCCTAGGGACTACAGTCTGCCAGGCTTTTCTGTCCATGGGACTCTCCAGGCAAGAATACTGGAGTGGATGGCCATTTCCTTCTCCAGGGGATCTTCCCAACCCAGGGATCAAACCCGTGTCTTATGTCTACTTGCATTAGCAGGTGGTGCATTTACCACTAGTGCCACCTGTGAACCCCTCCCTGGGACACCAGTCCAAATCCAGTTCACAACAGAGGTAAGTGTCCAGATGGTAGTGAATCTGCCAAAAGTCCCAGGAAGACTTCATAGTGAACATTTGAGCTGCGCTTTCAAAGGATGAGGTGGGTGAATTAATTGAAACTAGTGGGTAGTATAGCATATGATAGGATCTCAATAAGTGTTTATTAAGTGAATAAGTGAACCAGATTGAAAAGGCCTAAGGCATAATTTTCTTAATTATATGGATGAATACCAGTGTCTGGGAAATGGCTCAGACAACTTCAGCCACAACTACATGATTCTGAATAATAATATCCACAGGTAATAATCATTAAGCATTTATTATGTGCCTGGCACTTTTACCAAATGCTTTATAATGCAATATCTTAATGGGCTTCCCAGGTGGCTCAGTGGTAAAGAATCCACCTGCCAATGCAGGAGATGTGGGGTTGCTCTCTGGGTTGGGAAGAGCCCTTGGAGAAGGAAATGGCAACCCACTCCAGTATTCCTGGCAGGCTACAGTCCATGGGGTCGCAAGAATTGGACACGACCTAGCAACTAAACCACCACCACAACCAGTATTCTTGCCTGGGAAATCCCATGGACAGAGGAGCCTGGCGGGCTGCAGTCCATGGGTTCACTAACTGTTGGACACAACTGAGCAACTAAAC